CAAAATAATCATATAAATTTCACCTTAAATATATTTTTTTAATGTTTTCTTTCAAAAAATACCCCGGCTCTTTTTTTTGAACACCACTGTATATTTTAAAGTTAAAAGATGATATTTTTTTAAGAGAAAAAATGGATCTGGTAGAAAGTAGTTACTTCAACTAAATCATAAAATGTTATTAGTCAAATAACATGCCAAAGATCATTTTGTTACATTACTAATCCCACAAAGAAAATCATCAGGTAAGTATAAATTAAATGCCTGTCAATCAACCCTATCTATATTCTTCAAAAATAATGATTTTATCATAAATTATCCATTAAAGAAGCCATTATTGAAGGATCTAAATATTGAAAAGAGGTTTAGATTATCTGAAAAATTTTTAAGTGTTACTGATAATGAGTTAAAATGAATAATTTTCTCTGATGAATCAAAGATCAACTTGATCAATAGTGATGGTGCAAGATATGTTTGATATCTACCTGGTAATAAACATGAAACTTCAAACATTTTACAAACAGTAAAACATAGTGAAGGAAGTGTTATGGTATGGGGTGTAATCTCATACTTTGATGTTTCAGATTTGGTTTTTATTGAAGACAAGATAACTGATGAAGAGTATAAAACAATTTTAGCAAGATTTTTTTAAATTTACAATAAAACATCAGATAAATGATTTTATTTTCATGCAGGGTAATGATCTTAAACATACATCCAGTATTGTTGTGAATTATCTTAATGAAATGGAAGTGAATTTGTTGGAATGGCCTCTACAAAGTCCTGATTTAAACCCGATTGAGTATATTTAGACTTATATAAAGAGAAACCTAGCTGTTTTCGGTAAATTAAACAAAGAAGAATTAAAAGAAAGAATATCAGAAATTAGGTATTCAATTGATACAAATATGTTGCAGAATAACTTTAATAGTTTTCATAAACATACTCTAGAGGTTTACAAAATAAAAGGTAAACATACTCATTATTAAATTTATTGTGCCTTTTATTTTGAAATATAATATTTATAAAATTTTTTATTGTATTTTTTAAACAAAATAAAATTAGTTTAAGTTTAAAAAATGTTTAATCACTATAAGCAATAAAAATTATATGTTTTTAGTAGATTTTCTACACTTGGAAGAAAACAGGGTGCCTTTTTATTTTGAAAGCCACTGTATACTTATTAAAATTTTTCTTTAAAAAATTTTACTTTTAAACACCTAAAACGTTTTTTAATTATTTTAAAAACAGTTGTATTTAAAGTATTTTTATTTATTAATGTTAAATCTAAATTGTTTTATTATCATTATTTTTAATTGATTTTAATAAAAGATAATTTTAGTTGTTAAAATATTTAAATATTTTAAATTCCCATTTAGGTGTTTTATTAAATTATCCTTTGAGAAATAAAAATAACATAGCATAATTTTTTGTTATTAAAAAATCATAATTAAAATATCTAATAGTTTTCTGAGTAAAAATTAATCAAGAAATGTCAAGATAAGATAACATTAATTAGCAATTTAACGAGATAGAAAAAGCTTTAAAAAGCACATATGAAGAAACATCTAACATTTTTAAATACAAACTTTAGTGAATATTAATCTATTTAAGAATTTTTCATTTTTCTGATAACTGTCAAAAATAATTTGATTAATAATTATAATTTTCTTAAAATATTTAACTGTTTGACATCAAATAAATTAATTTGTAAAACAAATCAATAAACATGTTTAATTCAATATAAAAAAATTTAATTAAATTGATTTATTAGAAAATGTAAATTTCTAATAAATCATAAAAGATATTTAATGAAAATTACATGAAGGGTTATAAAATGATGAGATTAATAAAAAACTATTTCTTTTTTATTACAGTTTTAATGGCATCAAACAATGAAGAAAATAACATTGAAAGTGAAGAAAGTTATTTGAAAGAGTTAATAGAAACTTATAAAATTCAAAGAAATTTAACAAGGAATTGCATTAATTTATATATTTTTCTTAAAATTAAAAAATTTGAAAAAATAATCGTTAAAAAGACTGACTTTGAAAAATTAATCAATTATGTTCCATGTAAAGATTTGTTTACACTTAAAAATGAAATTTATTATTCTGAAAATTTCATTCAAAGATTTAAAGATAATATATTAAATATGAATTTGATTTACTTAAAAATTAAAGAAGAATTAAGTAAAATATTACTATTAAAGTATAATAAAAAATTAACAGAAGATGGTTCTAAGACTTCAGAATTAATGTTTTTGGAACATATAATTAATATTGAGATATCTAAAAATGAAATCTTTCCTTTATTCAATGATATAAAAACAATCTTGCTTGGTGTTTCTGATCTAAGATTATTTAATTTTATTTTAAAAACAATGAAATCTGTTGAATTTACTGAATTCTTAGATACATTTGATTTTAATGAAACAAGATTTTCAAGAACAGAATTTTATGATTTTAGAAAGCAATTTTTACTTAAATCTTATGATTCAACTAAGAATGAAAAATTTTTATTTTATAAAAAACTTATTTATTTGTTTTTAAAAAATAATATAAATGAAGGTGATATTAGAAAAACTTTTAAATTCTTTTTAGATTTCTTCAAGGTTAAAAAAAGGTTTGAAAGTGTTTTTAAAGAAAATCAATAAACTTCATTTCAAAATTTTACTTAAATCTTCTTTTATTACTTGTAAAACATAGTTTTTGAACACGACTGTCTTTAAATGAACTGTTTAGAATTTTAACAACTAACTTTTCAGTACAAATTTTTTTACGTTTAACTAAATCTTTAAAAATATTTTCAATCTCATTAATTATCTTTAATACAAATTTATAGTTAATAAAAGGCATTCTTTCGAAACCAATTTTTATTTTAATAAACGTATTTAACATTAAATCATATAAATTTTCATAGACTTTTATATTTTCTTTATTTAGAATAAGTGTATTTAATTTTGATGTTATATTTTTAATTATATTGTTTCTAAATGTTACTCCTGGTTTATTAGATTTTATATGTACTAAGTATGGTAGATTAGTTCTTTTAAAGTTACTCCTGGTTTATTAGATTTTATATGTACTAAGTATGGTAGATTAGTTCTTTTAAAAACAGATTTAACTGCAAAT